CTTATTTACTTTTATAGATATATTATCTTTTCAATTGGTAACAACTTGTGCTGAATGACTCTGAAGATTGAAGATTTGATTCAATATAACAAGCAGAATGCTTCTATTTTTGAAAGAATTAATAGCATATTTGTTTATAAGCTCAATTTCTGCTGGAGAACATTCTTCTCTGCTGTTGCTCTTTATGAGACTCATCAAGATCAAATTCTTGATTTACTGATTTTACAGATAATTAATACTTGCAATATTGTTATTGAACTTTCTGCAATTCAAAAGTCAGCACTATATGCAATAGAAATCAGGAAAAACATGAGTATTGAGCTGAACAGCACAGATATTTCTCTTGATGATGATATAGAAACTTTGATATTTCTATATTATACATGAGATGTCATCTTTTCATAGAGTAGTAATTAGCTTTTCTTAATACAAACAAATTGAGGCAATTGAAACCTGTACAAGCAATGAGACAATTATAACTAAGCTGATCAGCAATCTGCTAGTAACCCTCTCAATCACCAGTGTTTCTCTTCTGGAGAAATGTTTATTGAAAAATCACATTCATTGCAACCCTCCAGCAACATTTCTCTGACTGAAATGTTGCTTGTTGGGCAATGGTGGTTCATGCATTGCTAGGAAGAAATGTTTCAGGCTGATTCCACAGTGGATTCATGGTGGTTCTACAGTCATTTGGAGCTACAATTTTCCCCTATGGGAGACTAATAACTAGGAGATGAATGGGGGTTTAATAGTTCGGTTCTCACGATTGACCAACCTCATTACTCCAGTATCTAGTAAAGTCGCCTCTTAAGGCATACACTCATGAGGCCTATTGCCTCTTCAGATAGGCTACGGCGTGGAAAGATCCGCCGACAACAATAAAAATTTAGATGACCCATGCTTTCAGCCCTCAACCAGCAGCAGTGAGTAACCTAGATTGAAACGAGCTATAAGGCCAAGGAAGACAAGAATGTGTGTAGCTCAGTAAGATCGTGAATAGTAGCCGCAGCGGCATATTTTCGGTATTCTATGGCATCATGCTTCTCAGCAGTAACTCCAGTTTCTGGCAAGGTCCTAGTGATTCCTGCATAAACACGGTTGAAAAGCCATAAGAGAAGAATAGTCAAATTAGAATGTTGCGCCTTCTGGCGGTTGAGGGATCTTCTTATGCTGAGGTAGCGCCATATATCTGGAAAAGCATTAGCCAACAAACCTAAAGTTATGAGTCCACGGCGTTTTTCAACTACCTTCGAAGTTCGAGAAGGATAGTCTCCATTGTGAATTCGCGCTTCCATTCTATCAGACAGGGGAGCCTTGTGGGGTCAACCTAGAATACCAGATTTTGTTAGATCCTGAGTATTTCACCGTTGAACCCTCCAAATAACTTAGTGGGTACCTTTCCAGAACGCGGATCGACGCATGGCAGGTTTATTTTCGAAACAAATTGGATCATAGGAGGACGGTCAGGATAATCGTCGCCGCAGTGGATGTTCACGCTGTAGATGCGGTTCTCGTGGACGCTCTAACGAGGAGCAAGGTATCAGACTCAGCTCAGCATCCAAATGTACGGGACTAACATGTGGAGGTCCCAAGATTGTTCCGTTCCAGTTCCTCATCATAATATCCTCGCCATCAGCCAAACCATATGAGCATGCCTCTGTAAAGACGTCAGAATCGGGTTTGGCATTTGCAGGCTAACGATCGGGGACGGAGATTCGAACACTCCTCACCTGGGCCTTGGCCCTTCTCCCCCTTCTCCAGCTCCTCTAGGAGGCGGAAGTTTCGTGGCACCTTCGCCGTCATGGTCGCGTTGATAGTGTTGAAGCGATTGTAGGGAGGGGCTCGTGGTGCTACTGCTGACGGAGGGGTTCGAATCACAAGCTTCCGGAAGTTGTGGGCTGCCGTAGTTAATAATAGGGCTGTTACTCCGGTGGGTCGAAGAGACACACTGTGCAAAAGGCTAACTAATCCTATTGCGGCCTAGCCCACCACCCATTGCCTCTCGTGTCTTGGCAAAGCCACCTTCGGCCGCTGAGGCTCTGGACTTCCTGATTGGGTTGCTTCCACAGCTTCAACGTCAATCGTGAGATTTGCTGGATGAGCGTTCTTGATTCTGGTGCAAAGCTTCTTTACTACGGCTCTTGAGTCTACTTATGGTGGAATTTGACTGTTTTTCAATCCCTTAATTCACGATATATGATGCTACTTTCCCTTCCCTGACATGACTTCTCAATTTCTTCAAGGAGAGTTATCCACATTGATTCAAGAATCCAAAAGGAAAAACTCCGACCTGAGAAACGTAAGGTTTAAGCGTCACTGTTTTGGGTTCGAGGCCGTGTTCTGAGACTTACCGTGGAATTAGGCAGCGGAGAAGTCTCTAAGCGAACTGAGAGCTTTGCCATCTACTTCAGAGGCCCAGCTAGTCGCAGGTTTGATGCACTTTAAGCAGGAACTTCTGCTTTGCCAATTGCTGACTAGCCAAGAGACTTGACCCGGAGACCACAGTTCGCGAAGCCGTTTATTCTAGCATGCCATGCCCGTCATGCCAAACTTGCAGCAGTCGGAGTGGGATGTATCCACAAGCTTGTGGCATCCGGAGCACTGCCGTCTGAGCAACTTGGAAATGTCGTGGATGGCCTGCGCGAAACGACGACCCTAAGTATGAGCAATGACCTCTCTCGTTAATCTGCAAGCCCTCGTTACTGACGTTTCCTCAGGCGTTGATGTGCAACTTAAAGTACTCCAAACGTTGCCTTCACTATTTCAATGGCATGCCGGCAGCTTGAGCGGCCAACTCCTAGCTACTACACTAGAAATCTGTGCAACACTGCAAAATGTGAAAACAACAGCAGTTGCCAACACCGCTGCGGCGACACTCCAGCAGCTTGTCATAGCCGTCTTTGATAAGGCATCAAAAGAAGACGGTGAGCTTGACTTTTTCTTCAAGCCAAAGCCTGCCTATAATATATGCTGATGTGAGCAGTAACGCCGGGCAACCTTACAACTGTGCCAGCTTCATTGGGTAAGGAGACGGTGAACATTTCAGTAGCAAATTATGATGCTTTCCGCGTGAGTAAGCTAATGTTCTTGTCATCGCACCAATGTCTGATCACGTATCTAGCTATTTGATGATCTTTGCCGGCTCGTCGAAGGCGAAAAGCTTGAGTATCTGAGCATAAAATCTTTATCCAGAATCTTTGTCCTGGAATTAATTGAAAGCATATTGGTCAATAATGCCAGGGTTTTTGCCCATCATCCGGAGCATGCATATGTCCTCCGTTATCGCTTGATGCCATTGACTGTGAGATTTCTATCGGAACGACACAATTTCTCGTTCACGGTTCGTGTGGCGAGGATACTGTTGCTGTTATTGAAGTCACATCTAGATTTATTGGCAGCGGAATCGGAGGTGGCATTGAGTCTGCTTATTCACTTACTTGATACGGATGCTTCGCCTCCATGGAAACGTGCCATTTGCATGGAAATATTCAAGAATCTATACTCAGAGCCCCGGTTAATCAGACTCATATTCCGTCTGTTCGACGAGCACAAAGAGCGGAAAAGCATTGTTAAAGATCATATGGCTTGTTTGGTTCGACTTGCCGCTGAGAACCCCTCGTTGATAGGTGTCAGTCATCGGTCAACGGTGCCGGTAGCTCCCGAATCGTCAGGGGGGACCATCGAAGAACAGGTCGCCCTCGAAGCGGTTGTTTCTGCAGGTCTAATTGGAAGTCCATCTTCAAGCACGGATGCATGTGGCATCAGTAGCCAGTGGAGTTTGCTTCGGGCCCCATACATTGAAACATTGGACAAATTGGAAGCACCAAATCCTCCGGAAACCTACCTCTACAGCCTTGTACTCAATTGTATCAGCTCGTTTTCCGACAGTATTGCTAAATTTATCCTTCCGTTAACTGTTACTGAAACGAAAAACAGGCGCAAACGGCAAGAGTCGATAGCCAGTAAAGAGGAATCGACTATAGACAAACCAAACGTTGACCGGTCAAGAACTTCGAAAAGTTACTCTGTTCCTTTAAATCCCCTCGATTTTGAATCCCATCCTCAAGTTGAAGATGTTAAAAGTATTGCAGAAATGATTGACGCCTGCTGGCCCGCTGTCCTTGCTACCTCGTCTACATTTTTATATGCTGCCTTGGATAACGAATTTTATCACAATCTGGTCCGAGCGTTTCAAAGACTAGCTCATGTTGCAGGGCTTCTGAGATTAAAAACCCCAAGAGACGCTTTCCTTACCACTCTCAGCAAAGCCGCAGTTCCCGCAGATATGCTAAACTCTTCAACGATTGCAACACTGCCCTCGAAGCCCGAGGACCACCTTTTATCTGCTCCTGCATCTCCCGTTCCGAAGTCTCCGAGTATGTCTGAGCTAGTGCATCCTTCCACTGAAAATCAACGTGCAACTCTCAATACACGGAATCTTTTATGCTTGCGGGCGTTGTTGAATTTGGGAATTGCTTTGGGTCCAACGCTAGATTCGATGTCTTGGTCCATTATCCTGGAAACCCTACAACATGCAGATGTGATAATCAGCACATCGTCAACATCAAGTCTTAAACCCAGCCATTCTAGCCAGTCTAGTGACAAGAGTTCTGCACCTAATATTGAGTCGCTGAAAGAGAATTTTGGTAATGAGATCTACGCCGTTCGAGCGGCGGCTTCCAAAATGTTTGAAAACTCACAAGATTACCCTAACGCATCGTTAAAAATATTTTTAATCACCATTCTTAGTCTATCAGACATCACAGAAGCATACAAATGGAGCGAGATTGGGAAAGCTGCCTCTACATCACCTGCTCCAATAGGTCAACCTGGGCGACTTCATCCAAGCAAACGCAGCACTTCCATTGCCTTAAGTCGATCCAGGATACAAGAAAACGAATTGACCTTTGTGTTACAGAGAACGGGTGAATTACTAAAATCCAATACCGAGAGGCTTTCCATGGCCGTCGACGATGAAGGAATTTGGGACATCCTGGTCACCAACTTGATTGCGATAATTCAGAACGGGCAAATTAACCTTACTCACCGCTCAAAGGCGAGCGAAGTGCTCAACGCTCTGGTGCTCGACACAGTCAAGATTGGAGAATCTATAGAGCCTTCAAGCCGAAACCAAATTCAACTTCGAGGGTTCCATGCGCTGATGGCCCAGATATCCGGACTTTACGGGCCAGAGCGTCGCCCCAACTCAATAACACGTGCTGCTGATTTTCAAGTGCATGAATTTGCCCTTGAGACCCTGAAATCTATGTTAGAACAATGTGGGGATTCGATTACTGCTGGATGGGACATGGTTTTTGCTTTGATATCAAGTGTCTTTACTACACAAGAATCCAAGCATCAGAATACTGTGCCTCTTTCGTCTACTCTACCAACTATCAGTGATCCTGGGACTGTACTCGCAAGATCCTCCAAACTCGTGCGAACAGCATACGATTCTCTCCAGCTTGTTGCTTCAGATTTTCTAAGTTTGCTCCCAACTTCTTGCCTTCTTGAGATGGTAGAAACATTTTCTTACTTTACTTCTCAAACGGAAGACTTTAACATTTCGCTTACAACCACGACCTTCTTCTGGAATATTTCCGATTTCTTGCGGGGACAGATTGGAAATTTCGCCATATCAGGTGAAATTGATATTACGTCTACTGAAGAGAGTTTGGCGAAAACAGCGAGCTGTGCAGATTCCGCTGCGTCTCGAAACGCGCTATGGCTATTATTGTTGCTGAGGATTGTACACACTGCAACTGACAGCCGAACGGAAATACGCAATAGTGCTATTCAAACTCTTCTCCGAATATTGGATCATTACGGCCAACAGCTAGCATCGGAGTCATGGCACATATGCCTCAACCGGGTTCTTCTTGTGATGGCGGAGTCCGTCGGAACGAGATTACGAAAAGCTTTGGAGTCGACAGAAACTGGGAGTCCTGATCGAAAGGCCTGGGTGGAGACTACCGTGCTGGTCACAAAAGGATTGTCAAGTCTTATCACAAATTTTTTCGGTACTATTTCCCACTATTCTGATTTTCGCCAATCATGGAGTCGGTTATTGCAGTACTTTGGCGACATTCTCAAAACGAAACTTCTGGAACTAGATGAGGCTACGTTTGCAGGTTTTGCAGAGGTTCTTTCATCTATCAAAAACTGCCAGGATGTTGGCAAAACGGCCATAGCGGGAGCTTGGTCAGTCTGGGCTAATAATCCTCCAACTTCTGAAGGCCATGATCCAGAGGCCCCAAACCAAGAGGCCTTGCGGGCCTATCTGAACATGTATAGCCAGATCTACCGTTTACTTGGTAGTGACTTAGACAGCCGACAAATCGTGACCGTTTTGAAAAATCTTCAGCTATGCGTATGGGGATCAATCACCACCCGGTATTCTTTAGATTTGGAACGGCAATCCGAAGTTCAGAAGACAGTTATTGAATGCTTAAAAGCTCTTTGCTTAGATAAACCAAATTCGCAATCTGCAATAGTCCGCTACTTAGGGCGGCTTGCGGATAGCTCTTTGACCAGATGGTCACCCGAGCAAGGAAAAGAAAAACCAACATTTGTCGCATTCTCAAAGGCTACTATGAAACTTTTGAGCTGGTACCTTACAGAAAAGGGCATACAAGTTGAAGTTCTATCAGAGGACACACTTAGCGAAGCAATCGGACATTTAGTGAACCCGATTCTAAATAAATATGCCTGGACAGGGGAAGATCGTGAGCCACTTCTGTGGCAAATCGCAACCACAACTTCCCTCGATATTCTTCAGATCTCAATTCCGTCTATTGAGACAGAATACCAGAATCTCGGGCGGGAAACGATTACAAAGTTTTGGTTACCTATCGTTGAGTTAACTCGCGGTATTGTGTCGGTAGACGACTCAGTTGAGAACAATGTGCCTTTGGCAACTTTAGCAGAGAATGAGCAATTCGATATTGCGGCCTTTCACCGGCTGCTCACACTGATTGTCCCCTCTTTAGGGTCGTCTGTTATTCCGGACAAGATCCGCCGTGAATTCGCCTTTATACTCTTCAAATCTTCGCTCGTTTATCCACCACAGCGCACAGACCCACCCCTCGAGGATTTGAAGCTCGATCCTCTCCGTGATCTGTATCATGTCCGCAGTGGCCGTACAGTCGACGCCTTCCAAACGCCCCGTATCAAGCTATCGTATTTGCTAATAGACACCTTGTTCAATCTAGCCTCTGCACATTTACCCAAAAACGAGGCTGACCCGAAGGTTCGCACTGAATCAACTCAGTCATACATTTCTATCGCCAAATCAATGTCACCGTTTTTGGTTTTACGTTGTGCGATGGCATTAAAATCCTACGTCGCTGACCAACCTTTGCGGGGACTTATGCCCCAACCTGCTGTTTCTCGAAAGGAGCTTTTACATTTACTTCGGAAGCTTGATGAATTGAAAAGCGAGCCCGCAGCAATTCCAGCTACTGGACTAAACGTTCGTGTTAAGCCCAGCTTAGACGAAACCGACGCAGGTAATGACGAGGCCAAATATAAGAAGCATCTTGGTTGGGTTTATCCTCTCATCGTTAAAGGAGTACCAGTTGCTGGGAGAGAAGGAGATGACCGCGAACTTTTGGAAGCGTTGACGAAGATATTGGACTCTGTGGCCAGTTATTTTATCCTGGGGATTGATTAACAGTCATAAGTTATAGAAAAGATAATGAATGCCAAACTTTCGCGTTTGGCCTTGATCTCGACTGTCAGGCATTACTAAGCCATTCAGAAGAAGCAAGTCGCCAGGCCCATCTTCTGTACGGAGTACGCTCCAAAAAGAAAAGAAGCCCCTTGAGGCGAGTGGTTGAGGTATACTTTTTGTGTGGATTCACTGTTTCTGGAAGCGCGCACCAACTGCTCCTTTTTGTCGGGGGGCTTAAACGTCGCGTTGCTTCGCGTGCTACCAGCAGCACCTTTCCATCTTCAGAATGATATTGTGTCCCCTTCTAAACCACCACCATGTAGCAATTCGACAAAGCGAACATACTACAGCCAAGACAGCGCTACTCCAGTACGTCAAGCAAACACCCCTCTTGATCGGTTTTAACCGAGGCCGAGAGCATTGAAAGAGGGAGCACGTTACAAGAGGAGTTCCCAATATCAGATATCCCTTGTTCATCGCTCAGGTCTGCTAGTCCATTGTTCCGCTTTCAAGACGCCACGCCCGTCCCTCAATGAGAGCTCAGAGCGGACGGGAGACACTTGCAGGCTCCCCTTCATGGCCTAGAGCCATGCGACGGTAAAATGCCTTGTGAAAGCATCGAGGAAGCTAACTACTGCGAGCAATTTTTGCCAACAAAATCTTAAATTTTAGCCTTAAGACATCTCCGCAGAGTGTTTGCAAGCCGTTCAAGTAGCAGCAACTTTTTGAGCTATCATCTTCCTCTGCGCTTGGTTTTGGATGATTGACAGGAGGACATGGTTCCTCTGAGGATCTTGACAAGTTGACTGCATTGGATAGAGCAACTGATTAACGGTTTCGAGTGTTTCTATAAAGTGCCAACATACACTTTTTTAACGTTTTGGGGCAACTAATGCTCATCAATCACTGCCTCTGGTGAACGAGCCACGGCGCCGCCCTTCGTACAACGAACAGTCTTGATGAAACGGAGGATGATTGATTTTCTAAAAGATCGCATGACTTGCCGTTTTCACCCCTCAATCCAGCAACAGTACCCGTGATTGTGCAAGAGGGCTTGCGCTAATGTACACCAGACGGATGATTTGGAGAAGGATACTCATCAGCGACCGAGGCATAAGCCCATCACCAACTAGAGGACTCCGTATGACCATCCAAAACATACAATTTCTCCAACCTCAGGCCAAAGCACAAGAACCTTGGGAGTTCTTAAACGGCTACAACGTGGCCAACCAGAGATGGAATAAGGTTGAAGAGGGAACCGGATCATCTTGACTAACCAACTGAACCAAGATGCATCGCACAGCAGGGAGCTTGCGGTCCAGTTCCCTTCACCAGCATGTGGCAAAAGGCCTGTGGGGCCCCAGAAAAGACGGTCCTATGGGAGAGAAAGACCAGCGGTGAAGGAGGATTTCTTGCGACCTTTTTTGTCTCCAACTTGCCACACTTTAGATCTAGCCAGTCGAAGGAACGGGCCATCCAAGCACAGAGACGGCCAAGAATAAACAAAGCCCGAGTGTGCAAAAGGATCTCGATCACGGCAGTGAATATTGAACGCGATTTCAGTTCTGAAATGAGCCGTATTTCGTTCATGCAGGGAACTTGTTATTGTGGGCAAGGTCCATCAATCTCCCCATGGAGATACTGACTACTCCGTACTGTCAATCCTCCCGAGTTAACTACCCCAGACTTCAGTCTTGCTTCCGATCCCGCGAGTGTATTCCGAGGCGCTAGAAACAACTTTTATCTGTTGATCCGAGCGCTGGTTCTCTGCGAACTCAACAGTTGGCTCGAGATCCGATGGAATCTGTTGCTAGGATTGCTGGAGCTAATTCGACGGGAACAGGGTTTCTGCTTGCTGAATTGAAAGCATATCCCTGCCACGCAGTTCTAGCTTCTGAGTTCCCAACGACTACGAACGGAAACTGTCAGGGTTTCCTCCTTCGACCTGTAAGATATGTCGTCGGATCTCGACGCACGGTTACCGCTCTGAACAGAATATTCCGAAGGGTGTGTGGTGGTCCAGTGGGACTTATGGGAAAGAGTGTGGATTGATAGAAGGTTCATCAACTTCATCTTGAAGAAATTTCGGCGACAGCGAGCAACATCGATGTGGAGCTTTGAAGAGAAGTCACTTGTTAACTAACATAACTAGCCGTTCGCCAAGGACAATCCATGCATCTTGGTGGCATCGATGAACCTGGTTCTCCTCATTATTACGCTTCTCGACGTGGTCACGAATGATGATCGGGACACTCTCCTATCCCTCTCAACCAGCTGAGAGTTGCGTCTGCTCTGGCCCGGAACAAAAGACTTTTTATTTCTGTCTCAAGAAATGTCAAGGCCTGCTCCCGAGGTCCGACGCCATGGCGTGCCCTCTGTACCCGATCTTTCTCCAGTGCTCTGAATCTTTGCTTCCTTCAAATGATTAAACTGAGCTGTTACGCTCAGCTACTTAATATCTTTTTATCCTCTGCTGTGGCAACGTCATTGTTATCCCCCTTTTTCGCGCCCCTTTGCTCCATTCAAGAACCCTCGCCTGCATATTTCCTCTTGAATTGAGCGTCCAACAGCCGCTTCTCAAACGACATGGAGCCTAAGCAGGTCTCCTCCTCCTCCCAGGGAGAGCTGAAATTGATGACAGAGGAGATTGATCAAGCCCACCCAAGCAATTTAAGCAAAGATGCGGAATCTGATCAGCCAGATGCCAAAGCATTGCAGAAACAGCTGCGCAGGATCTAGTAAGTATCGCCTGTGCGCTACCATCGATCACTGCTCGTCGAAACTCGCTCACATACTCTCTAAATCTAGCTGGAAGGTCGACTTTCGACTCTTGCCCATTCTTGGAGGTGCGCTTAGGCAAATATGTTAGGCGGTTGACCGTGACTGATCGATTATCAATGCAGCTCTTTATGCTGTTAGTGGAATTGACCGCATAAACGTGAGTGTTATCCAATCCTCGAAAACGCAAGTATGCATACTGAAGTCTGCCGTGAAGTTGTCCTCCGCTCGCGTGGCAGGGATGCACAAGGATCTCCATTTCTACATCGGTAATCGATACTCCATCGTCCTCCTCGTCTTTTTCATCACGTATTTCTTGTTTGAAATTCCGAGCAACATTCTCCTAAGGAAAATTGGCGCTGCTCGCTGGTTGTCGTTCCTCGCAATGAGTTGGGGAATTGTTATCATGTGTAGGTTCCTGGCCATATACACATTTTATGTTCTGAGTTGCTAATTTGTTCGCGTTGAAAGGCGCTGGTTTCGTCCAATCCTGGGTGGTGCGTAGAAAAAATTCAAATGGCCCTATTAATCCGCATGCTAATAGCCGGTATTCAGCCTCTTATTTTCATCCGACTACTCCTTGGATTATTTGAGGCAGGGTTTTTGTAAGCATTTCCCAACCCGTGGGCTTATAGTAGATCCAGCTAATAATATATGAAGCCCAGGTTGTATGTACCTTATCAGTTGCTGGTATAGAAGATATCAGGTCCAACAACGGTACGCATGCGCCTATTCTCCTGCCTATTTCACCTTGCTAATTAGAGACTTGGTAATAGCATTGCCTGGTTTTACTCCATCAACGTTATTGCAAACGGATTTGGCTCACTACTGGCCTATGGCATCATTCAGATGGAAGGCCGTGGCGGTCTCAGAGGGTGGAGATGGATTTTCGTGATCGAAGGCCTGATTACATGCGCCCTCGCTATCCTCGGATATTTCCTTATCATTGATTTTCCCGACAAGCTATTAAAAAAGAAGTCTTTCCTAACCCCTGAGGAAGTCGAGCTTATCAAGGCGGAACTGGATAAAGACCGATCGGATGCGGTCCACGATCCAATTACCCTACAGAAGATCGTCCGTACACTTACGCGCTGGGAGCTCTGGGTGTAGTAAGTCAACCACTTCACATGTCGTGGTTTCGAATCGAAATTCAAAATCCTGACTTGACATTGCAGCGCGCTGCTTTTCATGTGTGTCGCCGCTTCGATCTACGGCTATGCCTTCTTCGGTGTCGTTATCCTACAAGGGATGGGATACTCTCCCGGGCGCGTTTTCTTGCTCTCAGCACCACCAGCCGTTGCCAGCGTTCCATTCTCCCTTGTCATTTCGTACCTTGCTGATAGGACCAAATTACGAGCTCCATACGTGGCCTTCATGGCTATCATATGCACAATCGGCTATGTCCTTGTTGCATACCCAAAGCAGAACGGTGTTAGGTACGGAAGATGCCAACTTGCTTTGATTTTCCCTTCCAAAATCAAACCATACCGTTGACATCGTTCTTTTAAAACAGGTACTTCGGGATCTTTTTGGGTCTGGCTGGAGCAAACGGTGGTCTCCCAGCCGTCCTGGCCTGGCAAGCGAATAATATCCGAGGCCAAAGCACTCGAGCGTGAGTTACACTCCTCCCATCCGTTCGAAATCTTCAAATTCCATCGTGGCCATTAACCTCATGATTCTAGCGTTGCATCCGGTCTTCAAATCGCCTTTGGTGCCGTCGGTGGGATCTACGCCTCCCTCACGTTCATGGAAGACGAAGCTCCGACGTATTTCAGCGGATTGTGGGCGGGAATTGTACGTTCTTCCAAATGCGCTTTTGAAGCCGCACCATCACCTGTGGGCTGCGTTGACTGACAAACATTCTTTTTTTCCCCTTTGGGTGTAACAGGCGACCCAGCTCTTTATGATCGTGGCTTGTATCGGGATGACTGTCTACCACTACATCCAGAACCGCAAGGCGGCGCGAGGAGAGATTTTAATCGAGGGTTTGGAAGGGTTTAGATATACATACTAGGCCCGCAAATTTTCAGCATAGGCTCCTAAGCCCGCTCCAAATTGGCGATGGGGAAATAATGATTAATATGAGGTTTAATAGGATTAGGTATTCATTTTCATTGATGGTAACTCCACTATTTCATGGGTCAGGACAGAGACCCAAGCTCAGAGAAAACTAATCATAGCACCCAAAGTGTGCTCGGGATATTGATGCCACTCCTCTTATGTCAGGCGACGTAACAAACCCTTAATCTGGTGAAGCCACCTGTACAACCATACACCATCAAACGCCAGTATCGTGTAAGCCGTGATATCAAATAAAGCCTTTGCTTCCTTCAAGCGGCTGCGGGAACTTGGTGATCCCCTTGCACTCTGGGGTCAGCACCCAGGTTCGCATCGTGTCCGTCTGCGCCACCACCTGCTTCAGGCTGTGAACGTGACGGCATGTTCTGCTGCAATTGCGGCTCTGCGCCAGGTGCTGGCAAGAGCTCTGGGGGTTGTCGAAACAGTGTGATTTCGGATTGCTTGAAATAGCGCCGGGCATCTGTGGAGATAATTGCATTAGTGAGGTATTCTGGGGGTGCATCCCACGGAAAAAAAAAGAGAAGGATATGACATCTTTCAAATCGAGAGATTTTCATTGATCCCTGAATGGCCGGGTCCCGATGGGACGGGATGGTGACTCCGCCTAGATTTATGGGATGGGCTGTGGGGCTGAAGGGCAGAGGCGTGGGATTGGAAGGAGATCAGAGTGAGAGAGGGAGAGACGGAAAAGCAAGCGTCGAGATGATTCCAGAATCCCTGTTCTCATGGTTTAAACTTTGAAACCCGTATTCCATAGGGCCCTCAAAAGAGAACTCCAAAAAATTGAAGAAACGAGGAAAAGAAAACATTAAATTGTTGTCTCAGAACTCACCTTCATCAATCAGGACGAGGCTGAGATAGTACCTCGTCGAATATTTCTTGTTCACGTCACGAAATGTGGGAGTCAAGTCAAATCCGCCCAGGAACAATCTGATTGGTATCGTTTCTCCTGTTGATGTGGAAAGAGCAGAGTGTCAGCCAGCTGCCGTATCACGGAGGGGTGACGTTCAACATACCTCTTGACGGAGAGCCGTCCATGATCTGTGTCACGTATCCGATGTTAGCGATGGCACATCACGAAAACACGAATATCTCACTCACCTCAAATCTGACCAGCGTCTCGCTCTCGTTATACTGATTGGGCGGTGACCCTGTCGTCTCCCGACGAATAATGGACAACTCCATGTGTTTGATCTTCAACCGAACTAGCAGAAAATATATCCTCCCGACAATAACATCTTTCAGGTGATACTTTGATTTTGAATATTCGAATTCGATATGCAAACAATCTTCTATACCCACGTCCATCTTTATCGGAGCGTTGTTGTCTGGTGGCATTTTGTAGGAGTACACCCAAATGTCCTTCTCACGCACGACATCTGCTATTCTGCGAGAAACAGTAACCCGGACAAAGTACCGTAGCTTGACATTGATGCCGTTGTATGATTCATACTGCTTCTCAACGTTTTTGAAATTAAAAGTAAAGGTACGTGGATGTTGGAGCTCGCCCGGTGCCGCAAGTTCCTGTACAAGGGAGAGGAATTCGTAGTGGTTACCCCGATCGAAAAACATTTCTAGTGCATCACATAAAGCGTCAGCATCAATCTCAAATTATAAAGCGTCCTTCTTAGGACTATCCACAGATAAGAGACGAGCCGAAGAACGGGGATATCAGTCCATACCAATCATCCCTATAAACTGGACCTTGATGCCTGTGTGCTCTAATCGCTTTCCATCTTTGGGTCGAACTGTGACTGCGCCTTTTACGGACTCCCCGTCCATATACAACGGCGCCTTTTCGCGCCTGTTCTTATCGAGCTTGATATCAACGGTCTCTCGTTCGTCGGCATCTTCGAGTACTATGTCGATGTCGACGGGCGTGGAAAAGAAAAACGACGACATTATGAGTGCGACGGCCAATTGCAAGCAGTTTGCAGGTCACGCAGGGTATCGCTGGGATGCTCGCCAGTTCTCCGCCGGGAATGCTGCCGCTGCTCGCGCGATCAATGGATGGATGGGTGCTGGGAGCCTGTTGCTTGCGCTGCGCCGTCGTCAACCGGGTATTGCTTACATAATCATATATAACTACTCCGTAGATGCCTCGCATCCCGCTTCAAACTGCATCCTGGAATCATGTTCAACCTTCAAGGCCCCTTTGAAGGGATGTCTATTTTTAGTGGACGTACTAACAGCAAACTAACAGAGTTTCAGCTTGCACCTCGTTCTCCGGCGGCCCCCAAATCACCCACCTCCACCCGGACACCCCAACTGCCCAGTTCGAGTGCTTGGGATTCTGGTCAACGAGCTTACCCGCTGTCTAGACCACCAGCATCCCCATTGAGCTAATTGAGCAATGAGTCGCTGGCCCCTTGGGCCAAGCAAAAGTACGTAAATCCTTGCTCTGCCCAGGGGCTGTGAAGCCGGTCCCTGAACCGCGGGGTCAAAGGGAGAGCGCGCTTTATGAGCTCCCTCGATATCAGAAAGGGAAAAAGGAAGGTTTCCAGTTAGCTCAGAGGACATTCCGTACGGCTTAGCTTCCAGTTTCGTGGGCAACCCAACACTGCTTGCCCACTCCTCCGACATCAGTCGAAAAGGCGTGTCTACGATGTAGATATTAAGGTTCGGGACGGCTGTCGAGATGTGCAGACTCTCGGGAGAGATAGCAGAGTCGGCCGCCACCAATCTGTCGAATGGCATGGGATTGGCCTTTTTGTATGCGTGCCACAAATGTATAATGACATCAGACTGGTGCGAGTGCATCTCTCGTTCGACAATGCCGGCTCAACTGACGCTACCTTCGTTATAATAGTGCCAGTGCAGTGCTGTGATGCATTGCGCTGCCTGCGGCCAAACGCATCACCCTGCATGTGCTTGCGCGGGGTAAGAGAAGCTAACGAATGCTGGTCAAAAGAGCCTACGGTTCCTCGGGCTCAATTCGAGCTCTGCTTGCTCGCGCAGGCATCAGGTGGCTGTGTTTCTGCGGCGATTGGGCAACGGTCGTGGAACTGATCCAACAATTGGGTCGACGTACATACAGATTGCATGCAGAGAAGAAGTATAATAACAGGTCGTGACAGCATTCAATCACCGCCAGGAGCTGTACAGCGAGGGAGCTTTCCCCACAAATTGTCCACATGGACAGCGATTTCAACGACGCAGCAGATCGCCTCCGCTCTCGATCACGGCTGAGCATCTCATGGACGATCTCTTGCCCTTGATCAGTATCTGTATGACAGCTCAATTGGGCTGCATCGGCGTAAACCCGAGCTATGAAGGCACCCCGGGAAACATTGATAGATTCAATGCAACTTCAACAAGGCAGAAGGGAAGAAATAGCGGAACTTAAACGTAGCACAGGGGAATGTGCTCGGTTCTGCACCATTGCTTCTTTTGGCGTCCTTTTTTGCAGGCCAAAGACGGCGATCACCAGTCTCAATCAAATCTCAAGCCTGACGGCCTTGTTTAGCATCAGTAAATACCCATCACGGTTGGTTACATATTGCTGGGTTATTTCGTTGTAGCCGCGCAAAATTGGCGATTGGCCAATCTCAGTACGAAAAGCGCATTCCGAGGAGGTCTAAAATTTTTCAAAGCCTGCCGGAAAGTTTTGACATTGGACTTGAATCATACGAAAAGAAAAGGGGTTGTGATAAATGCTGTTGTTATAGCTGTCCCCCCTGATGCCGCCATCCGGCCACAATCGGATCAGTCAGTTGTCAAAACCATGCTGTTGCTGGCCAGGAATCCCGTCGCAATTGCGCTCTTGAGATTGATTTTTAATTTGACCGGACAGGTCTCGATACGCCCATCTGGCCGGTTCGAGATCTGCAAACACCCCCGTCACTGGTCAGCCTCGAAGGACGAGCGTTTCTCAGTGCGTCGTAAGATCAACTGGCCAACAATTGGGTGTTTTTCTTTTTCTGTGTGGAAGGGTTCAAGTGTGATTTGTTCACGAGCAATCCTGCAGGACGGCCGCCGGTCGATTCTGATTCTATTCAGAGCCGTTTCTCCACGTTTTGTCGCTTGGCCCTGGATCCCACAGCCTGTCGCCAACGATGTCATCATGATGCTTGATTCCTGTGCCTCACATGATCCCTTCGTTTGGGCCTCGAGGGCTTCGTTTGTTCAACATCCGAGCGAGCAGCCAGCAAAAGGCGCCGTCTTGGAATCAATCAATGGGACCAGGCAAGCACCGTCGAGATGTCGCTCCCTCCCAGCCTCCGGTTCGCCCCCGACCGCTTCAACAAGGGATAATCTCGCACAAAAGACCCCAGAATATCGGCTGTTCTCCGGCTCCCAGTACCGTGATACCGGGTCCAATAAGGCTCTCCCAAAATCCCGTTCGTTCGAGTTAGCTTAACCTACGTTTGTCCTTCTTCCAACCAACGCTCGGATCTCCCAGTCACCACGTCAACTTGAATCGATATGAAGATCCCACTCCGGCTGATTCGGGGCTGGTCCAAGGTTTCCTGGAGGCCCTTTCGGGGGCACGCTTTTTAAGACATCAGTATTCCCCCCCGGTTTGGCCATGTTTCTTCGTTTCTTTTTCTTCCTTCTTTTCAGCCATGCTTTGCCTCCGTTTCCCCTTTTTCCTTTTTTTCCTTGTTCGTAGCTGAACCTAGATCTCCTGTTCTAGAATATTATAAAGTGCCGTGCCGCCGCTGTTTTCTTGTTCGTGTTTTTTCCCTCCTCCAGCTCAACCACCTGGGAACTTACGACTTGACCGCTTACTCCTGAGTGAATTCAAACCATTTCCTGGAATCCTAGTGTGGTAGCTGCCAAAGGCAAAAGAAGCTCCAAGCTAGTCAGAATGCTATCCACGGAAGAGCCTCCTCGCCGCCCTCATATCATGGCTTCCCTCGCTTCCCGAACCCTGAACCGACATAGCCATCTGTCTCGAAAGCATCCAGTCGCCTACTCGTCCCCTGACCCCCAGATTTCCATGCAGCACATCTGGATCATCACGGGCCCTGCTGGCTGCGGCAAGACGACTGTAGCCAAGGGGCTGGCAAGGGAGCTGGATCTCCCGTACATCGAAGGGGACGATGTGCGTTCCCTCCTCCCCGAAATCTCCAAATCCGCATGCGAGCTAACCTCCAGCCCCTTCCCTACAGTACCACTCCAAATCCAACAAGGATAAAATGGCCAACAACATCCCCCTTACCGACGCCGACCGTTGGGACTGGCTCATCCAGCTGCGCGAAGCCGCAATCAGCAGCCTTGCCTCCGTAACCTCTCCCTCTGGTGTCATCGTCACTTGCTCCGCCCTGAAACACAAGTATCGCGACGTCATCCGCGTCGCCGCGTACGACCACCCCTCCGTCCGGATCCACTTCATCTACCTTCGCGCGGACGAGCAGATTCTCCTTCAGCGCGTCAGGCAGCGCCAGGGCCACTACATGAAGTCCGATATGGTTCATTCGCAACTGCAGAATCTGGAGGAACCGGATTCGGAGTGGGATGCGATCTCGGTGGATTGTGCGGCGACTCCGGCGGAGGTGCAGAGGAGGGTCAGCGTCGCGGTTCAGAATAAGCTAGATGAGTACAAGTGACCTCTAGCTGGAGGAAGCAATGTCTCTCTTCTTCCTCTCTCCGTGTTGGGTGTGGAACTACGTGGCTGTGTTTAGCTCCAGGCTCGTTGATGCCCGCTCTGTACCGCTGGCTTTTTTGTGTCTTTTCTCCTTTCTTTCTCTGTCGAGCGATTTTACCAAGCGATAGGCGCATGGGGCGTTGGCGGGAGATTCGTTTTGGAGAAGCTACCCGGGTACCGGTTTGAGTCAGTCTTATGCCCATTGTAATTACTTGCATTTTCTTGGTTTCTATTCCGTGTTGGACGTGGCTTTTTGATCTTTGCTTTTTTTTTCTTATTCCGATATTTATTGTTACAGCACATAAACGACATGCCAGAGTTGTCTTCCCACGAGTCAAATCCCAAGCGTGGTTACAGTCGCACAGATAATATCCCTCCCCGAGTCCCCGAGGATTGCACCGACATATCCCTTTTCCCTCCAGATAGGCAGGATTCGGTCGAGACCTCCGGGGGGGTGTTTCGGGCGGGAAATACAAGACAAGGGACCAGGATTCACCCAGTTCCCTGGCGACCCAGCGTCCGTCTCTAAGAATAGTCAACCGGGAAATCCAACCGCGGAACACGGGCAATGGCGACCGCCAATCCTCGCTAGGAGCAAAGAATACCAGAGCAAGGGAAGCCATACAGCGTTGAGGAGGTAAAGAAAACAAAAGGAATATCGACCCAATTCGTCCACGCGCATCCCTGGCTGCAAGGAAATGATTTTTCCTAGATGCGTCTTGGTGCATCTCTTCCGCGCCTGTTTCAGAGGACGGCAAAACCAAACCTCGTCTCTCCCTCCCTACTCCCCCGGCCGACCTTTCCACAGGGCGCACAGACCGCTAGTCCTCGGGCCCTTTCACCCTCTTTCCGTCCAGCCCGTCTCGCCCCGCGAGGAAAGCTGGTTAAGCGCCCGTGGGCCCGCATTGCTCTCTCGGCTAGCTTCAATTGGGCTGAACGGCCGGCCGTGAGGGGGGGGGCCCGAGGACTCTGTAACTAACGAGTTACCTCGTGTGAGCCAACCGAAAGCGCGCAACTAACTCCGTATACGGAGGGCTTGTGCTTGTTTGGTTCGAAGGGACCTGTTGGGATGATACGTCATATTGGTGATCCCTGTCGAGAGAGGCTGACTGCTAGTTAGCTAGCACAGGGGGGGAGCAGGAATTTGAAAGCTTCCAGAAATAAAGGCACGCTGCTAAACAAAGGTGGCTTAGTTACGGATCGTAACTGTCGTTCCGGTTGGCGTGTTTGGGCTCAGTTGCTCCTGGGCAGGCTGAGCTGGACCTGAGAAGAACTGGCGGCGCTGAAGTCTCGGATTCAACGAGTTTGATATCGATTTTCCCAGGAGATCGTAGAAAAACAAGCTGAAGTAACAAACTAGAATTCCTTTTTATGGCTTCGCAGAAACCAACTAACTAAGCCACGGAATTGTTATATGTATCAGGGGCATTACCCGTCTAAATGTACCTTAAAGACAAGGTAACAGGGCGATAACTCAAGAACTTTGTATATAGACAGCCCACGATTCTAAATAAAAAAGAAAACCTCCCCAGGCCAGACATTCCTCAAGCAATCAACCAGGAGATGCTGTATGCTCTCCGAAGCCAAAGAAAAGACACAAAGATGCAACCAATGTAAAGTATACAACTGGTATACTGGGTATCGATGCCCCCAATCATAGCCTATCTCAAAGCCAACAACATCGTCTCAGGAGACTCCACATACATCCTAACTTTTTCCGCCATTCTAGCCATCGTCGCCCCATCAATGACGCGATGATCTGCGCTCCAGCTGAATGTCATTTTTTGATCCTTTGACAGGTTGCCTTCGTCGTCAAACACTGGCACAGTGCGTGCTTTTCCGACACCCAAAATAGCAACCTCCGTTGGGACGAGGACGGGCGCAACGTACGTTCCCCCAATACTTCCAATGTTCGAGACGGTGATGGTGCCGCCGTTGAGGTCGGTGGGCGTCAGCTTTCCGGCGCGAGAAACAGCGCTCAGGCGCGTTAATTCAGCAGCAATGTCGAAGATCGAACGGGCCTGAACGTTTTTGATGTTCGGCACTAGAAGCCCAGTCGGCGTGTCCATCGCCACGCCGATGTTGTGGCTCGATCTCATGATCAAACCGGGTTTCTTTGGGTTTGTAGTTGTGTCAACTTTGGCATTGAGGAGCGGGTAATGCTGTAGGGCAAGGGAGACGGCTTTGATGATGAATGGCAGGAAGGATACTTTTTGTGGATCGGTAGGATTTGAAAGGAGCTTTTGTCTGACGGACGAGAGTGTGGCGATGCTGAGTTCGTCAGCATAGAGAAAGTGTGGAATCGTGAGGGATTTGGTCATAGTCTTGAACATCTGGGACTGTATGGGCGTGAGAGAGGCAGGGGTTTCGACCTGTGCAGTGTCGATGGACGGGGCCGCTGAAGGGGTAACTGCTGGCGCAGCTGCTTGCGAGTCTCTTTTCTCAAGATATTTGAAAACATCCTCCTTCATCACCCGCCCGTCCTTTCCGGTCCCGGTGATTTTGGTGATATCAAGGTTATGCTCTTTCAGGAGACCGCGAACTGCTGGCGTAGCAAAGGTGGCATATTTTGATGGAGGTGCAGCCTGCTCCGCTTCAACTTGCGCTTGACTACTCTCAGCTAATATTGCCTGGGCGCTCTCTTCAGTCACCGCTGCTGCTGAAGTGGTGGGCTCCGGGGTTGACTCTGCCTTGGGTGGAGCAGGCGCACTGGAGTCAGGATATTGCGCGTCGTCAACCTCTATATCGCAGAGAGCCTAGTAAAACATTAACCCTAGCCAAAAGAGACTCGGGCCGTAGAGAGGGATTACCTGGCCAGTTGGAATTGTCTCATCGGCCTGGAAATGCAGTTTTTTGATGACTCCTTCATATCTCGAGGTGATCTGGGAAAATGAATTAGCCAATGGTTTCGAGATGGCATGAGGTAGCGTACATCATCCACTGCCTTGTCTGACTGGTACTGGCACAGAGGCTTCCATTCCTCTACCCTAGCGCCCTCCTCGACGTACCACTGGATGATCTGAACTTCGGTAATACCTATGGAACACCGGAATGTTAACAGCTGTGTACCTCTTGAGGCGCCAGACGCCGGAGGCTCAAGCATCCGTACCTTCACCAACATCCTTGAGAATCTGAGACCTGATGCCCCATGGCGCCGGAGTGCTATGGAAACGCCGCCGTGAACGGTGGTTGAAGCCAGAGAGTTGCGGTGCGGCGGGCAAGATGCGGAGTGAGATACGAGACTTGAGTGCCTTGGAGAGCGATCCTCGACAGTATAGAGAGCCCATGGTGCAGATAGAGAGGTCTTGAGGGTGGATTGGGCTTGAGGACGGCTCTCTTTTTCTTCAGCGGACGAAGAGAAGAGAACAATCTCTTGCACGGCGTAAAATAGCCCGAAAAAGGATTGTCGCGGTGTTGACCTGCCCGCGAGCCCCCGACAATAGCCGCCCGCCGATAAGGCCACGTGATGCCTTACATCATCGCCCGGTTAGGCTTAGCGGTGCCCTAATCATCAGCCCTAGTTGGGAGGCCAGATTGGGAAATATCAGGCCTCACATGCCCCCATGGATAAGCAATGGTATCGCGGGTGCTGCTGCGGGCGATAGTTATACCCAGCATTCTCTCTGTTGAATTGGCCAACTGCGCTCGGCAAAGGAGTAGACGCTCTCTTTTTCTCGCACTCGTTCATAATTGATTCGCAATCAGCCCTACGGCAGTAGTTAACTAGTGAGCTGTTGTTCCCCACTTTGAACCCCTCCTTGACCCTGGGAATCGAGATGCGTTGACTGCCAACATCCTCAATCAGAATCAATTGCGGTCTATACCCGTGCCAACAGATCCAGAAATACACCATAGCCACCATGGTTGCAGAGCATTTGACCATTCGGAACCTAACTGCGAACCCAATCGAGCTGAAGCATGTCGAGCGCTTCGCTCCCCCGGATGTTCCCAAGCCGGACATCAAGAATATCACCAAGACCTTTTCAACTCTGATGAACAATATCACCAGATCTGCGAATGAAGTTGATTCGATTGCACATGGCTCTGAGTCATTCTCTCGCCAGGATGTCTCTGTCCGGGTCGAACCCTTCACTACGGTGAAGACGGATATTCGAGCCTTCGAGAAGTCTGACAGAGAACGGATGAAACTGACCATCGAGGTCGAAGGGGAACGGCACCAGGTTCAAACACCAGTGCCGACCAGCGAATCGGCTACGATGAGAGCATTGAATGACAATCCGCGGTTCCGATTCACCGGCGTCTATGTGACTCCTGAATCGCATCTGGCAGTGTACTCGTCCGCAAATCTCAATTCGTGGATGAGAGAGCTCAACAACGATACCCTGCTCTCTGCACTGTCGATTCCAGGAACGCACAATTCCCCAACGTGCCATCTCGCTCCGCCATCGGTGAGATGTCAAGCCGCCAGCCCCCGAGAGCAGCTGGAGAACGGCGTACGCTTCTTCGATATCCGCGTTCAGCCCCAATTCCCCAATGACCCAAGCAAGGATAGTCTGGTCCTCGTTCACAGCGCATTCCCCATATCCCTCACGGGAAACAAGTACTTCCGTGACCTTGTCCAGGAGATTGAAGCTTTTCTTGAACGCAACCCATCGGAAACGTTGATCATGTCCGTCAAACGAGAAGGCCCCGGGAAGCACACAGACGCTCAACTAAGCAAGATCCTGTTCGACCACTACGCCAAAGACTCGCGCAAATGGTACACGGAACCCAAGATTCCGACCTTGGAAGCCGCTCGAGGCAAAATCGTGCTGATGCGCCGTTTTGGACTCGATGATAGCCTCAAACGAGAGTGGGACGGACGCGGTTGGGGAATCGACGCCGGTGGATGGGCAGACAATACCCCTCATGCAACCTGCCCCAGCGGAGACATTTGTATCCAAGATTTCTACGAAGTCCTCGAAACGGAAAACATCGACAAGAAGATCGAATATGTTACCGCACAGCTCGCAAGATCCGGCGCACTGAGCTATCCTTTTGGCGCGCTGAAGGTTGACGACAATGGCGATCGGACCCCGTTTTATGTCAATTTCCTGAGCGCGAGCAATTTCTGGAAAGTGCAGACGTGGCCCGAGAAGATTGCGGCGAAGCTGAATCCTGCGACGGTGGATTATATCTGCCGTAAACATCATGGGGACGAGAAGGGAGACTGGTCGACGGGCATTTTGGTCTGTGACTGGGTGGGATTGGATGGCGATTGGGATTTGGTGAGATGCATTGTGGGAATGAACACGAGGCTGATGATGAAACAACGATGATGAATGATCGAGCTCAGGCTTCTTTTTCGAATGCATTTACTATCTCCTGGAGAGACAGTAGTTGCTTATGCATAGTTTTAATCTATAGATAAGGGTTCGCTCCCCAATAGTTAATATAAAAGGCACCTTTCTCAACTCTTTTAGCCAAATTCACAGCAGGTCTATTCATTCCAATATAGTACATGATTTTGAATCGTGTTAACACCCATAAAAGAAACCACCAAAAGGGCGACATAAGAGCTATGTGCAATGCACAATTGTCCCTCGAATTCCTCATTCCTCCTTCTTCCCACCATTCTGCTCCTCTTCCAAAACACTTCTCCGACTCTCCATCGTAAGATACAAGCTCTTTCCCGCACCCTCCAAAGTCCCCGTGAGACTCGCTCCCGCAGATTGCAACAAATGCACCAGCTGAGCCCTGAGCCCACCCATGCCACCTTCAATGCTGCCGATCCATCTCGTCCCTTCGTCATCAAACACTTTTCCTTCCACCCTGGCGCCCAGCAGCACCAATTTCTGCAACCCAGACTGCGTCTCAAGCTCATAATAGCCCGGATTCACTCGCCGTTTCGGAGCCGGGAATGTCGGCGGGCTGGGTGCCAAAATGGACAGGGCAGCCTTGACGTGTTCGGGGGATACGTACGGAAACGTGACCAGCGCAATCGGTCCCACAAGCAGCGCCGCCAGCTCGTGCTTTCCGCGCTTGTTTAAAACAGCCTGGAAGGCCGCCTCGGAGAGGTCGTGCGTCATGATCGGCGACGCTGAATCGGCGATTCCCGCGGTCTCGGGCCGGAAGAAGTCGACGACCCGCAAGGCGACTTCGAAGATGTTTGTGTTGATGGTTTGCATCTTGATCGCGTCGGCGAGCGGTGGCACGTCGGTTCTTCCGTTTGCGATGTGGTTTTCGTCCACGGTTCGCAGGGCTTTGGAGAGTTCGCGGCGGATGTTTACCCATTCGATGGATTTGAGGTTGTTGTGCTGGAATAGGAGAATCAATGGCATTGTGCGCAGGAGGGAGGTGTATTGGCGATGGAGTTGTGTCTTGCGGTATTCTGGTCGGCGATGGGAGGGTGGCTGCGTTGGCGGGTAGGATGTAGGAGTAGCGGCGACGGCAGCCGCCGTCGTGGCCGCCCTTGTGTGATTGAGGGAGGGTGTATAAAATTGAGAGGCGAAGGCTGCTCCGATTGTGGCCCTGGATTGCCTTTTGCTCTCATGTCGAAGGGATTGAGACAGCTTCGAGCACGTCGATAGCCGTAGTCTCGGAGGCATTGCGGCGGTTGGAGTATATAATGAGCAGAGTGCTCCGGGGCGGGTGCGTTTCTCAGAGGCCCAGATACGCTCGAACTCGCCGATGGGATCAGCTTCAGAGGAGAAGAATCACTTCCGCCGCCCTGGATCGTGATGCTCCCGCTGCTGCTGGAGCTTGAGATTTTACTGATAACTAACTATTGATTACATAAGTTAAGAGACAACATAATCTACCACCCAACAACAGTCCTTTCTCTCCTTTCCTATCATATTCTGCAACCCGATTTCCCTGAGTTCTGAGAAAAGAGCCAGGCCTCATCATACATGTTGTGTGTAGTCCATCCATCACGCGCGCTTAAGCAGGCCATGCAGCTGCAGAATAACTAAACAAATATCCCGCGTTGTTGTTTCAAAACATCGTTAACTATTCTATCTCGATCACTTGACAGCACATCGAAACTCAGTTAGCGAAGCTGGTCGGGTTGTTGTTAGGAAGGATGATCTTCCCTGGCCTCGGACGTAAAATATGAATAACGTATACAGGGTATGTCTCTGGCCTGCTCATAACCTGATGCTGCTCCCTTTTTTCGTGGATTACTTCGAGTGCCATACGCTTGAGCACATCGTTCGCCAACTGAATCACCTCGATACTCTCTGTTTGCGCGGGTTTCGAGTTTAGGGAATCGTCCCACAGCTTGCGGACTCGTGGCTCAATCTCGTCGAGAAAACCCCAAGCGGTTTCGCCGTTTCCATGATCAAGTGTGATCGTACCAATTTGCTCGCGTGCTTGTTCTTTGGTTCCACCTCGGCGAAACTTGGTGGAGCCAGTTGTCAAGCTTAAGCGTTCGATGGTGCCGTCTTCGGGTAGGAGATGAAGAACTCTGATGCAGGAACCAAAAGTGCCTACAACAAGGAGCACGGAAGGCAAGTCGAGCGAGGGCGTGGAGCAGAATGCATTTCTAAGAAATGAAAGCATGCTCGCGCGAGTTTGAAGGCTATTAAATGATGATGAATAGATTCGTGATTTGATAATATGTAGCTAGAGAATTTAGAGGCTGGAGGAAGAAGTTGGTGAAACAGGCACTGCAGCTAACAAAGCACAATCACAGCGCAGTAATAACTAGTAAGTGATTGCCAATGACCTGAAAATCAAAAGAGAATACCTCGAATTTATATTAATGTCGGAACTGCCCGAATCGATCCCGGTGGGAAATTCCCCTCCCCTGTTGAAGGCAGAAACCCTTCTGTCTGGTTCTAAAGACATCACCAGGTCTTGCTCGATGTCCTGATTAGGACCAAGTCCACTTCGGCGCTCACTCTGCCGGCCTGGAACCCGCAGGCCGGCCCAATAGGAATTGAGCTGAGAGAACGCTGCTCAAGGATCGTTGTAAGAGGTGATACAGGTGAAGGCAGAAAGGAAAAAAGAGACAATTATGATCCAATCTGACTGAAGGGCCATTTACATGTGTTTTCAGAAAACCCAATGAGCACAAGTTGTCAACAGATATAACGGAGTACCTTTCTTGTAAATTATCAATCCTGCCTCCCGTTGAGATTGAAGCCATGATCAACTGACCTTACTATAGTTAGTGGTGATTGCCCGCTTGCGAATAAACGAGTCCAACCCTCAACATCTACACGACGCTCCGCGCACCATCACTTACCATGGTGCTACACGATGAAAGCGCTTTGGAACTTGACAAGCTTCGCTGGGAGACCTGGGATCCTTTCCCGGAACTTCCTCTGCTCACAGGGTCGACCGTCCCAAATGTCGGCCGCAAGCTTTTCATTCACTCTCCCTCCACCATTCTCAAACTTCCAGGCATCGAAGGTGGGGAGGGCACCATGACTGCTCTTGCTCATTCCATCCTGGGGGATCTTGTCCCACGTGTTGTTTGCTTGGTCGACGTCCCGGATCCTGAGCCAGGCAGGCAGGGCATCCTCTTTACTCGCCGCCCGGGCACACCGCTCAGCGAGCTTTGGCCATCACTCACCATTCCACAGCGCAAATCTATCAAGGAGGAACTCTGCCGTCTCATTCTCCAGTACCGGAGGCACCGCTTCACCTATTATGGCCGGCCCAAGCAGCAACCGTACCTTTTCTCCACAATCTTTGGTCCAAGGCCTGAAATCTACTGCACCTCCCGTTCAGAGTGGGATGAGTCACGTATCCGCGCGATGAAGGCCGCTGAAGATGCGCCGAGTCCAGAACGTGCGGCAATCCTCGAGAAAGTGCAGCGTGACATAGTTGGCGCAACTGGTTGGGATCGCCCTGTCCTCACGCATGGAGACTTGTCTGAACGGAACATCCTCGTGGACCCTGACACGCTCGAAGTGACGGGTTTCCTTGACTGGGAGTCAGCCAACATCATGCCAGCGTACTTTGAGTACGTTCAGGCACGGGTGTCTGGGGGCCATGACCCTGAATGGCGAGTCGAGGTGTTGGATATACTGAGGGCTGTTTTGCGCCACGAGTGCGGTGATGTTAATGGTGATGACGGTGAAGGAGAGGGAAGATATATGAAGACGCTGGCGGCTTGGAATGCTATGGTTGACGTTGAAAGACCCGCGCTTGGATACAGTGATGAGTGCTATTGGACTTTCGAAACCGGCATGCCAGAAGCGCCCAACGGTCCCGATCCCTCGACTTTGATATCCGAAAGGAAGAACACGCCTGCAAACTGAGTTAAGTCCACAAGTCTTGGCATCAACTTACTGCTGTCAGATGCGCTTGTATTTCCTTGGCCATAAAACTACATTGATATGATAGACAGCAGCCTCCGCAATCCAATCCAGTCGAAATGCCCAACTCTCGTAATTATTATTATCAATAGTCTTATGCAGTCAGAGACTTTAAAGACTGCCCACCAGCTTTAAAGTAAAGCAATCAAATACAAGGAAACATGAAAGTATTTTTCAGACACAAAAATACTCCGTAGCCATTTAAATATCTACGGCTTACATAACCACGGAGGCCCACTGATGACTCAAGCAGCAAGAGGGGCAGAAAGTCAATTGAACAAGCTGTTGAGCTGCTTTTCTTTCTCTTTTCTCTCAATCACCTGTGTTCTGGTACTTGTCCTGCTCGGCCACTTGACTTTGTGACGCATCTGCTATTCCCATTCAGTGTGCTATTGGATCTACAAAAAGACAGACTCATCCCATAAGTCACAAATGGCGAGCCCCGCGAGCCAACCCGAGCCAGTCTCGATCTCGCCTCTGCTCCAAAGACTCGCATATCCAGACAACTCCCAGATACAGGTCTCGGCTGGAGAAATTGCCTCAGCATTCGCCTTGATTTTTGAAGACCGTCTCTCAGTCATCCAGACAGCAGCGCTCCTGACATTACTACATTCAACAGGACTGGACAAAGACTCGGATGTCATTGCGCAATGTGCAAATCGCATGCGTGAAGCTGCTCAGCAAACTGAAAAGGCCCCATTGCGGAAACTCTTACGGGAGAGGGGCCGAAAAGAGGGCACCTATCGCGGTGGCCTGGTGAGTGACTCAGACCCGAAATCATTGCAATCGCAGCTGACAGGGATTTCGCACAGTGTGACATTGTTGGCACTGGGGGCGACCAGCACTCCACCTTCAATATCTCCACAACTTCTTCTATTATAGCATCACCATTCCTTATGATTGCAAAGCATGGCAACCGCGCGCAAACGTCCTTCTCCGGTTCGGCTGATGTCCTAAATTCGATTGCGCCCCGGCCACCCAATATCTCCGCAGTCAATGCGAGTAACCTTGTCCAGGTCCTTGAAGAGACCAACTATGCCTTCCTTTTTGCGCCTAACTTTCATCCGGGGATGATGTATGCCAATCCGGTACGACGAGGCTTAGGCCTCCGAACGATATTTAACCTAATGGGTCCACTTGCCAACCCAGTGGAATGGGCATTGGAAGCTCGAGTGGTTGGCGTCGCATACCAAAGCTTGGGACCGGTATTCGCCGATGCACTTCGATTAAGCGGAGCCAAGAAAGCCATGATCATCTGCGGTGAGGAAGATTTGGACGAAATAAGCTGCGCCGGGAAGACAAACTGCTGGAGACTGTCTGAATATCCGAATCCAGCATACAAGGAATCCGGGCGCGCCGAAACAGACCAGGATGAAGAGACAAGTGATGATGAAGCGCCCCCCAAGACTTTGGTCAAATTGGATATGTTTCAAATCCAGCCATCAGATTTTGGACTACCATCGCATCCGCTTTCCGATGTCGGCGGAGGTAGGCCGCCGCGTGAAAACGCGCAAATGCTCATGAGCATTCTACGCAACGAGCTCCCTCGCGACAACCCTATTTTAGACTTTGTTATTATGAACGTGGCGGCGTTGCTTGTAATATCCGGCGTTTGTGAAGCTGACAGCAGCAATATGGGCCCAGGGGATGACGGGAACGTTATAAAAGAGCGTGGGCCGGGTGGACTTAGATGGAAAGAAGGTGTAAGGCGTGCGCGCTGGGCAATCGAGAGCGGAGAAGCTTTGACGTGTCTTGAGAAGTTTATCGATGTCACCAACAGGCTGTGAAAGGGCTGTCCACCTTTTGGAGCATTGGGAGACTGGGGTCATGTCTAGCATATTTCATTTCCACTTGGAACGGGGAAACCAACAGGCATATTCGGGACTTCAGAAGCAACATAACCCGGTGCGTGGAAAGGCAACTGGAACATTTCAACATGTAATTGGAATTATGGAATACAAGCATGTGACAAGAAAACACTCCCAAGCGCCTTGCAAATGCCTGCTGTCAAGGACCCATCATATCGACGCAACTTTCTCGGTGGTGGAAGTAAATTATCGCGCCTGGAATTGGACCATTCTAGTAGTAACGAGATGTATAGGTTAGCGGCCTGTACTGCGGATCGTGCGATTCGAAACATGGGTGACAGGATCCCGAGTGACAAACCTCTTGGTCCTCTCCTTGTACAAGACACGATGTCCACATTCCTTGCACCGGATCTGATCGCCGCGCTTCATCTGAACACGCGCGCTGCAGTCGCCGCAGACGTAGACAACGGATAGAAGCTCATCGTTGGGGTTGGTGGGGGCCGCGCCGGCACCACCGGAGAACTGCTGATGGTTGTCGAAGGAGGGGACTTGGTAGGCTTCGCGAGACATGGTGATTAAAACTAGTAATAGGGTCGTGCTTGGACTGTTTGAACCTCGATTTGCTTCCCGATGAAGAGCAGGATGACGGTGGAGGAATGTTGTTGTCGTTGACTTTTTTGCGGGCGAGAAAGAAAGACCGAAGAAGGTGATGTGTCACATGACCTAAGCATGACTAAGCTGCCAAGGATCACCACTTCACAACATCAACGACAAGCTTCAGACTGACAGGCGAGCTTCACCAGATGTCTGGACTGGAAGCTATATGCTAGGCTCTAAAGAGAATAAAGCTGCCGATGTCCCATATGAGCTTCGTATGATCGTTGCTACAGATTCAACTGTGGCCCCAGAATGATGCCGTACTCACTGTAGGCTTGCCGCTCAAGCCTCGTCGAGTGCGTCGAAAGGGTCCACGCTATGGAGCTTTCACGTCTCTTTGCCTTTATATCGCTTGCTTGCTGCTGCAGGCTTGAGCTTGCAGTTTCTGCTTTCTTTGCAACTATGACCGTGGTGTCTTTCCTTCCGGGTTCACGGTACGCCGTCGAGCTTGCCTAGTGACATGGTCTCCATCTTTGTTCTGACTAAATCGCTTTCCTGTGATATTCCATTATCTGCTCTCACTTTCATATGGCGTGTCGTGCATTCAGGTCCGCTGTCACGCTGAACAATGGGCTATTGACCGAGTTTCAGACCCATTGAAGTTTACTTATTCATTCTTGAAGTCCTTGCCCGCTGACTTCGATTTTATATTTCTATCCATTACTGCGAGGAAGCGCATTCGTAGCTTACTTCACTTCACTATATTGACCCTCCCCCACTCATCTTTCACTCCCTTATAGGAGACATCCAAGCTGAACTTCTCTTTTGCCATGCCTGGTCAAGTGGCCCAACTTCGTACCCCTCGCACACCGCGAACTCCTCGAGCGCGTCGCTGTCTTCGCCATGACTCATCGCCTGCTCCACGAAGCTGGCATGGGCAGCATGACCCTCGTGCCGGACGGCTTCCCAGATATCGGCCTCGGATCCCCAACGTCATTTTTAAAAGATCAACGCACCCTAGATCTCCAAAACGATGTCGAAGGCGTCCTCGCTGGCGCCAGAATAAATTGAGCGATGATACTGCGAACCCTCTTAGATCGATGTTCTCCTCTCTATCTGTGAACGATCAGAAAGCTGAAACCGGCGTCGATTGTACCCCGGAGAAAAAATTTCAAGCATGTTCTCCAAACACTAGAGAGCGATCATTTGCAGAGATTATAAATGGCGCCTTGGATCAAAATCCAAGCGGGGAAGCATCGGGCTTTCCAAATCCTTTTGGTAACCCGGGTCGCCATCCGTTTCAACCGACCCTTAACGCTTCGTCACCGGAAATAAAAGTCGAACCTATTTCACCTGTATCCTTATTCAGTGGCCCGCCGCAACCGCGTTCTCAAATGCCAACAACGGGAGCATTGGGGAATTTCGGCTTTGGATCTGATCAAAATCTGTTCGGCCCAAAAGAACCATCGCGAAGATTGCTAGAGCTAGTTCGACTTAACCATCATCGCTCTAAAGAGCTTGCTGAACTTGTTGATAACTTTCTTCGCAGATATCCAGGTTATTCCCAGGAGCAACACCCTAAGACGAGTGGAAATTCTCATGGATCTGATCATGAAGGCCAAGACAACGGAGGATTCTTGCCAGTCGCTCCGTACGTCGCTACTATTCCAGGCGGTGGGGACAGCCCGCCTCGATACCCTAACGGCACCTTTCGCGGACACATGGTGGATCAGCCAGACGCTATGCAGCCAGTCCTATCATCCCACGCGTCCCAAGCTACCACCAGGAGCACCAGTGTAGCTGCGGAAGAAGAACGTTATCGTACGTTTATATCCAGTTTCTGCTAGTACTATATCATGTTAACCTCTAGTAGCTTATGTCCCACCAACGCCGGTTCTAGCGCCCCGTGATATTGAATTTCGAAATTCTTGGAAACTAGACTCCGGAGCTCTACACGCACCATTCTCGAATTCTGGTTTAGTAAGAGATGGATGTGCTCTCAGAAATCCATTGTGTTCTGGGAGGAACCCTTGCAGTGGCCATTGCATCACCAACACCTTCGCCGCCTTACCGCCAGAGATTTCATCGCCTGAAGAGTTGCGACGCGTACGGTGTTCATTGGCCCCGTCGCCCGAACCAGCGAGGCAATTTTCCATGGATGGGATTGAATTTTCGGGCCACGCTTTTAACCAGAATGCTCACCAAGGTTGTGGTTCTGGAGAGGCTACCCCACAAGCCCGTGAAACGGTGCTTTGGGGCTCCGAGACTGTCGTAAATGGAATTGATAAAAACTCGCAGAAGAGCGAGCTTTCCCTTGGAACCTTGAATGCTGAGACGTTCAATCGGCCATCCCGACGCGAATTCTTCCGGCCTAACGCCATCCAGCCGTGCCCTTGCACCCCTGCGTCGTCTCCCAATAGCCCACGCTGTACATATTGCGGAAGTGCAGGAGCATCTGTATTGAGCGGATAAGAAACCCTACTCAGTGTTTTGAAATTCCGGAACGCCGGGATCTGGGCAAGTTAAACGTCTTTCTTTTAAGTCTCTCAGTAAATTATATTAGCTATTGGCGCAGGTCTTTCGTTTACTAAAGAGATTGAATTTTCAGAACCTATCGTTTAGCCCGTAAAGATCCTGTACTCTTGTTTGCTAGAAGCCATTGAGTCTATCACTATCTAATGCATTGAACCAGATGCTCGTATCGACAGAGGAATTGTGAAGAAACTTGAACAATTTACGATTTTCATTTGTGAAAATACGCAGCCAGCCAAAAAGTGAAGATAAATGCAAAGATATTATGGAAACAATTTTGAAAATCATGTTGATCGTATAGTTCGTCACCAACCCCCGCCAACTTTGCCCGCTAATTCAATCACACGAGCTGTATCCGCCGCACCGCCTTTCGCTTTGCCCACATCGCTTTCAACTTTGCGGAAAGTGGTATATACCAGCTTTGGCAGCGGAATTGCGGTCATCTCAGACCAGTACTGAAGAATAGAATGGATGGATTGGGGTGTGCTGGGGGGCTCAGGTGCTTGGTCGGCGTCAAGGTCCATTCTGTCGGGGATGGAGGCGGAGTCCGAATCTGTAGAGTAATACGCCTCGTCGACGCGGGCGAGCCATTCTCGTTGTTCTTGCGGCGTGGGTTTCTGCGGGGGAGTGGGTTCAGTTGGAATGTTGTTGCCGCTGCCGGCGGTGGTGGTGGTGGAGATGTCTCGCAAGTCCTCGACGCGGATCTGGCCGCCACCGTTGGTGCATCCGCCGGGACATGCCATTACTTCGATGTATGCGTAATCGTTGGCGGCTCCTGCAGACGCCTTGGAGGAGGAGGGTGCGGCTCCTCTGCGGCTTGTGGGTGGTCTTGCTCCAGGTAATCGAGATGTTCGGGCCGGTTTTAGTTTTCGAACGAGGTTTTGGATGTTTCTAAAGCCGTAGTATCGGGCGGCTTTTATTATGGGCTCTCCGGTTTCGGCAGATATCAAGGAGTATTCGATGACGTCGGAGTTTGCGGCCCCGCTGGGCTTGAATGATACTGCTAGGATGGAGGGACTGGTGGGTTGTAAGGAGGTGGTGAAGGTAGCCCCCTGAAGGGCCGGAGGAAGGAGATTGGCTGGAGGAGCGGTGTTTTGGGAATAGGAACGGTGCAACTGTGGTATCGGGAAAGACTTGGGTTGATTCAGGCGACAGAGGAGTTAGGGGGAGGTCAGAAAGAGAGATGTTTCGTGACGAGGCCAACATAAGGAGTTCACGCGATGTTATTACGCAGTCAACGTCGCGAATAGAGTTATTTGTCGGCGAGGGAGTAAGTGTATCTGAATTGGCTGTTTGCCAGGCCATATCCGTTAATTCCTGCCGACTTGCTTCGAGCTTCTTGTCGAAACAAGGCATGATGGCTAGATGCCATATTTTAGAAGGAGAAATGTTGAGTGCTTTGCTAAGTATGGTCTTAACGAACGTGCCCGTCAGGGCTTGGGGTGATTTTAACCGGGAGAGATGGGGGGAGGACGTGGGGATGGGTCTTTTCGGCATAACAAATCCAGCCTGGGCAGGCAGAAGAGAGGATTGGTCGACGAGGGACGGGGAAATCTGGGGACTGAGAGACGGCACCCAAGCTAGGATTCCCACATGCCTCTGTGACTTCGTCGGTGGTGAGTGCCAACACAACATCCCGCATCACATTGGTATCCACGACCCAGGTGAAGCCACTGCGGTACTGTCCCCCCGCTCTTAAGCCCTGTGGTCCGGAGAGAAATTGATCAATCATATAGCCGGCCTTGCGCTCCGATATTCCATATGTCGCCGCCAGACTCGCGCGCACTTGGGGACTGACACTGGCGACAAAGATTCGCCCATCTTCCTCATAGTTTCCATTAGGGAGGTCGGCTACCCGTAGTTCAGGATGTGACTCCAACGTATTAAGCACCTCAGCATGAGATTGCAAAGAAATAAGAACCGCTTCAGCCGAAGTCACGCAGCCGGAGCAAGCCAGGCAGTCAGTAAGAGATATCTGAGCGGGCGGGAGGTTTTCGGGGGCGACTTTGTCTTCTGTGGTTACTTCGTAGGCCGACTAAACGTGCAGCTAGGTTAGTATGATGCATAACAGACAGAGGTCAGACAGCGCATTCAGACTTACTTCATCCTGGTCAGGTTTGGCTGGTAGTGTTTCAATCGGCTTGATACACGCGACCCCTGGTGAGATGAAGTCATTCAGATCATCGGCAGAAAGAATCGCGCTCATGGTAACAAATCCGGCACCACAACGGGACCGTGACAGGCGATAACCAGAACCAGCTCGTGCTTTCCTGCTCAAGCAGCGTCTGTCCCTCAAGGTCACAAATCGAATTTGATCGTTAATTCCGCGTCGGCTTGAAGCCTGAGAAAATCGGACGATTTGAAGGCGGCGGGATCGGTATTATGTAATCAAGGATAAGGCAAACAGGGCAAACTTTATCTCCGGCCAATCGGAGCTAGTAATGACATCATCCCTATCTTATCAGATCAACCCAATTACTCAGCCATGTTCTGCCGCTTCACCGCCTGTCGATGCGGCTCAAAAACATCGCGAAATCGAACGGATTTTAGGCTGCAGGACGAGATCTTCTTGCCTGGCAGGGAGAATGATGGCGTGAGTGAAGCTTGGAACAAGCTTCCTCTTGCTCGCCCCATTTACCTATCTTCGTGATCATGGCGGATCGAAAGATGGTGCAGACTGTCCTCAATTTTGGACAAGGCGGCACAGCCCCTACGATCCGAAAGCCCAATCCCCGCGAGGCTGCAACTGTCGACGCTGACTCCGACCAGATGGAAGATGTCCAGCTCACCGACACCACAACGACCACAGAACCCTCGACGCAACTAACGTGGTCCACCACCAGCTTCACAGCCGATTCCACCATGGCCTCAGACTCCCGACGCAAGATCCTCACACGCGTCGCTCGCGAAACCATCGCCCTCCTGCCCAACGTCCTAGAGACTGCTCCCCACGCCCCTCCAAAGGGCTATCTCTACACCGACCCACCACTCCTCAACCAGAAATACTGCCCGCGCTTCCCCCCCACCGCGATCCGCATCCTCAACGACGACACCCTCGACACCGCCATCGGCCTCGCGCAATGCGCCAAATACATCACCGTCCGCGACAAGCGGCCCGTCTGCGTCCTCAACATGGCCAACGCATACTCCGCCGGCGGGGGCTGGAAGCGCGGCGCCCTCGCCCAAGAGGAAACCCTCTGCTACCGAAGCAGCCTCAGCTTCACCCTCAAACGTCGCTACTATCCCATCCCCGAGCTGAGCGCGATATACTCGCCCACGGTGCTAGTGCTGCGCAAGAGCATCACGGATGGCCATGGGCTGCTGCGGCTCGAGGAGCCGGAGAATCTGCCGGTGGTGAGCGTCGTGAGCGTGGCGGCGCTCTGTAGGCCGGAGTTGATGCAGGGCCGGACCAGGGAAAAGTTCAAGGACCCGTATGATAGGGAATTGACGAAAGAGAAAATGAGGGTCACGTTGAGAACTGCAGCAGTGAACGGTCATCGACGATTGGTCCTGGGAGCGCTGGGGTGCGGTGCGTTTTTGAACCCGCGAGAAGAGGTGGCTGATTGTTGGGCTGAAGTCTTGCGGGAGCAGGAGTTTACCGGAGGGTGGTGGGAGAGCGTGATCTTCGCTGTTTTGGATGATCTGGGCCAGGGCAAGGATGGGGATGGTAATTATGGAGTTTTTTATCGACGATTAGACGGATTGATGGTTTAGTCCGAGCGAGATACCCGAATACCCTTGATGTAACGAAGTTATGAATCTTTCTGTTTTAGGTAATACTTTTGATAATGGAACGTATGGTCGTGTGATTGAAAAGATATCACCTGAAAAATGACCGTAGCAATGTTATAGACTGATAAAAGCTGGCTCTGAGCCCCAACGCCGAGCAGCGCTTATAATTTACACAAGACGAAACCGCCAAACTCCAGTCAAAAAAAGAATTATTTCTTTGCCGCAGATCGTCCTCTTCTTAATGGCGTTTTTGCTCCAGTAGCTTCCTCTCGAACAGCGGCGGCTCGTGTCCTCTTGGCCGGAGTGGCACTTTTGCTCTCAGCCTTCTCTGGTTCCGTAGTAGCGGCCTTTCGCTTGCGGCTCGCGGTTTGAGCCACAGAGCCACCCGTCTTTCCATTCGCAATTTCGGCTTCTTTTTTCGTGGGGGTTTGTTTGGCGCTGGTGCTTGCTTTCGTTCCATTGACAGCCGCGCCTTCGTCCGCTTTCTTTTTGCTAGTGGCCTTACCGCGGCTTCCAGACCCCGATTTTGCGGCGGACGCATTGTCATCGTCTTGGTTGGCTGTTGCATCCGTAGTCGCAACAGGGGATTTCTTCTGGACCGATGGTACGATAGCGCTCGTTCTCCCTCCAACTGTGATAAAAGTGACTAAATCGCCATTCAGCATTTTGGATGCTTGTTTACTGCGTTTGTTCCAGCGATGATGCATAAGCCAATCCGTGGGGAACCGCGATGAATCACCTAACAAATCGACCGACGTGGCGCAAACGTAATGAATTGCAGAGTGGAGTTCCTGGACTTGCGCCTCGCTAAGGTGTTGCTAGTTTGCTCAGGTGGATTTGAGAGTGATACATACTTC